GAAAAACAAAAGACCCAGGATAGCCAAAACAACCCTGTTCAACAAGGCAACGTCCGGAGGCATCACCATCCCTGACCTCAAGCTCTATTATAGAGCTATAGTCCTGAAAACAGCTTGGTATTGGCACAAAAATAGACAGGTAGACCAATGGAATCGAATTGAAAACCCGGGTATTAACCCACACACGTACGAACATCTGATCTTTGACAAAGAAGCTAAAAATATACAATGGAATAAAGAAAGCATCTTCAACAAATGATGCTGGCATAATTGGAGACTGGCATGTAGAAGAATGCAGATCGATCCATGTCTATCGCCATGCACAAAACTTAAGTCCAAATGGATCAAAGACCTCAACATAAATCCAGCCACACTGAACCTCTTAGAAGAGAAAGTGGGTGGTACCCTTGAACGAATTGGTACAGGAGACAGCTTCCTGAACATAACACCAGTAGCACAGGCAGTAAGATCAACAATTAATAAATGGGACCTCCTGAAACTGAGAAGCTTCTGTAAGGCAAAGGACACAGTCAGCAAGACAAAAAGGCAGCCCACAGAATGGGAAAAATATTCACTAATCCCACATCTGACAGAGGGTTGATCTCCAAAATTTACAAAGAACTCAAGAAGCACGTCTCCAAAACACCAAAGGACCCTATTAAAAAGTGGGCTGCAGAACTAAATAGAGAGTTTTCAATAGAGGAGTCTAAAATGGCTGAGAGGCACTTGAGAAAGTGCTCAACATCCTTAGCCATCCGGGAAATGCAAATCAAAACAACTCTCAGATACCATCTCACCCCTGTCAGAATGGCTAAAATCAAAAACACCAATGACAATTTATGCTGGAGAGGATGTGGTGAAAGGGGGACACTCCTCCATTGCTGGTGGGAGTGCCAACTGGTTCAGCCACTTTGGAAATCAGTGTGGAGATTCCTCAGAAAAATGGGAATAAACCTACCACAAGACCCAGCAACTCCACTCTTAGGCATATATCCAAAAGATGCCCATTCATACAACAAAGAGGTCTGTTCCACTATGTTCATAGCAGCTTTATTTGTAATTGCCAGAACGTGGAAGCAACCTAGATGTCCCTCACCCGAAGAGTGGATAGAGAAAATGTGGTACATCTACACAATGGAGTACTATTCAGCAGAAAAAAATAATGGAATCATGAGATTCGCAGGCAAATGGATGACACTAGAAGAAACCATCCTGAGTGAGGTAACCCAGTCACAAAAAGAGAAACATGGCATGTACTCTCTCATATATGGATTTTAGACATAGATCTGGGGAGTGCCAGCCTACAATCCTATGGCCAGAGAGTCTGGGAAACAGAAACTTTATTTAGTGGCTGATCGAAGAAGAGGCAGACTCTCTTGGTTAAGTACTGAGCTGAACTCAAGAAAGCCAGTAACAGAGAGGGAGGACTGATGATCAAAGGAATTAAGACTGGGCTGGTTTAACACCCAGAAACAGCTGACCAGACAAAGGTTAACTCTTGAATCCCAGGCATTAGCCTGGGAAGCCAGCATGGGACTGATCAAGACCCCCTGAATCTGGGTGTCAGTGAAGAGGCCTAGGGAATCTATTGAGCCTTGGGCAGCAGATCAGTACCCATCCCAAGTTTACACACGGACTTTGGACTCCAATAGAACAATGTGAGGAGCACTCTCACCCAGAACTCTTGGGAAAGGGTCTAGGCCCTGCCCTATATGAAATGACACACTATGGACACCCCCATGGAGGGCCTCACCCTCCCTGGAGAAATGAGAGGATAACGGGGGTGGGGGCAGGGGAGGGCACGGGAGGAAGGGAGGGAATGGGAGAGGGACCTGGAATTGACTTGTGAAGCAACCTTGATTCTTATCTAAATTTAAACTGGAAAATAAAATTAAAATAAATAAATAAATAAATAAATAAAAAGTTGGAGACATCTTTAAAGGGAAGAAATAGAGTGTCTACTCGTGACATCTCTGGGCCTGAAGTTTTGAGAGAGATAAGCCGTTCTATAACTTGGCTACAAGACACAGGTATCTGACAGGAACTGCGGGTCTTAATGGAAGATGAAGCAGCAGTCACAGCTAGGGAGTAAATATTCTGGACTCTCTCCTCCCTTCGATCTTTTGCCAATGTTCCCAGACTGGCTGAAACCAAACAGACTCAGAGGGTGAAGGATGAGTGATGCAGTCCACAGAAGCCAGCCTCTCAGAGCAGGGTCAGGCAAGAAACTGGGTTTAACGAGTTGGAAGAGTACTCATCATGCAAACAAGCAGGATGTCTCAGTGTTGGAACAATCTTTAAAAACTTTGAACTAAAAGATAAAGGGAAAGGATCCAAACAGAGCTATGTCAGACCTGGGACAAAGAAAGACAGAGGAAGAGAATGATTAAAAAGTAAAATAGTGGGGTGGGGCACAGTGTGTGGCCTCATTATGTAAGATAAAGTACATAATAAAAATTACCTGGAGGTATGAGGAAAACACGTTTCCCTTCATCACCTCCCAGGAGGCTTGATTAGAGAAGCTGGCATGGGTCCTGAGTACTTTTGGATAAGTATTGCCTGGGCCTGTCTGTAGAATCAGGTTGAACTGCAACAGTGAGGTGAGTCCCAGCTTTCTTTGATCACTGTGAACAGCAAATTCAGTGTCAGCTGAGCCATTGAGGAGAAGCAGCTGTGTCCTGGCATTCTTTACAGGCATCCTGGTCAGTTCTGTGTCAATGTGACACTCTCAAATAGTTATTTGAGAAAAAGGAAGCTTGACTGAGAAAATGAACCCCAGCAGAATGGCTTGTAGTGCATTTTCTTGATTGATGACAGATGTAAGAAAGCCCAGCTCACTGTGGACAGTGTCACCCCCTGAGCTGGTGTTCTGTGTTTCATAAGAAAGCAGGGCAAGCCAGCCATGCAGAGCATGCCAGTAAGCAACACCCCTTTATGGCCTCTGCAACAGTTCCTACCTCTAGATCTTTGCCCTGGCTTCCTTTAGTAGAATGCATTCTGAGGGTTGTAAGCTAGAAAAAAACCTTTCTTTCGCTGTGATGGTTTGAATAAAAATGCCCCCATATGCTCATATATTTGAATGCTTAATCACCAGAGAGTGGAACTATTTGAGAAGGATTAGGAGGTGTGGACTTTTGGAGGAGGTATGTCACTGAAAGTGTGTTTAAAGTTTAGAAAGCCAAGCAGGCCCCAGTGTTTCATCTTCTCTGCCTGCTGCCTGTGAATCAGCATGTAAGGCTCTCAGCTATTGCTCTAGAACCTTGTTTGCCTGCTTCCCATCATGATGATCATGGATTAATCTTCTGAAACTGTGAGCAAGCCCTCTGTTAAATGCTTTCTTTTGTAAAAAATGCCTTGGTTATCATGTCTCTTCACAGCAATAGAACAGTAACTAAGACATCATCCAAGTTATATCAGGGTGCTTTATCACAGGAGTAGAAATCCTAGCTAAGGCAAAGGCAAACATGAAAACTGGTACTAAATGGAGAGGCGGCACTAACACAGGTGAATTCCATGAGACTACCTGACTGAAGTTTAATGAGGTCTAGAGAATTTAGTCATACTTCTAGAATACACTTGTAAAGTAATCTACTTTTTTATAGTATTTCTTGCTCAACATATAAAATTCTAGTGTTCAAAGCAGTTAACATTCCACTAACACGTGAGCAAAGGCACATACTGAAGGCATGTTCTATGATGTATCACAGTCACTCAAACAAGACATGAAGCATGTGAAATTCACATCAGTCTTCTTACCGCCATTATATAAACTCTTGTTAATTTGAGACAGGGTTTCCTGTAGCCCAGGTTGGCCTGGGACTCAGTATATAGCCTAGGGTGACATTGAACTCTGATTCTCCTTCCTCCACCTCCCAAGTTCTGGATTTGATTTAAATCTTAATAGCTACTTCTTTCATAGGTTTGTCCCAAAGATTTTTCCCCAGTTCTTTCATTAAAATATAGCTATTAGACAAGAATCAACTTTAAAGCAGTAGTTTGTATTCTGAGACTTATTTTTGTTTGCTCTTTCTAGTATTGATTTTAAATATCCTCAATAACATTGTGGAACTATGAATAAAATTCAAGCATTTACTTTGTAAATTATTAGAGGCATTGTAAAAGATAAACTGTATTAAATTTGGCTTACCAGTATTTCCTGAGCACATTTTAAAAATAGAACTGAGCAGAAGTAATTATTTTGGGAAAATGGAAATGATAATGGAGAGATTAAGATCAAGATTAGCATGCACATGAATGGCAACTATTGTGTTTCACACACAACTCAACTGTTTCTAAGAACAAGATAAAGTAAGACACAATCTTCATTGTGGAGAACAGGTTCAGAAAACAGACAAAACTTATCTCAGAAATATTTAATAAATATCTACTAGGTGGTTAGGCAGGCAATTTGCTAGGTGTTGAGGCTACTGATAGAGCAGGCCAAGGGAAAGGTTTACTGTCTCCATATTTAATACCTTCCCCCCCATACACACTAAATCACTAACCAGAGAAGAAACAAAGTATCCTGTGCTGCTTGTTTTCCTGTGCCTATGACTCTTAGCTGAAGAACAAAGAAGGGCTTACAAGCCAGAAAAACAGCTCTCAAATTTAAGGGAAGGTAAAACATGCAGTAGACTGTTTTTTTTTCTTTTAGGGTGGAAACAAGGTGAGTGTAAAAAAAAAGTGGAAAGTACACAACTTCTGGTAAAAGACAAAAGTTTATGATCTGATTTAGAGCAGCTAAGGCCTGGCCATGGCTCACTCTCATGATCTGTGCTACTCAGGATGCTAAGGCAGGGGCCTCCCAAGCTCAATGGCTCAGCCACAGGTGATCCAAGGCCACAAACCCAAGGGTACCATTTTGACGCACAGGTATTTCGGGTAACATGGTACTGAGGAAAAGAAACACTCACTTTTTTTTACAAGGAACAAGAAAACTTCTCTTTTTGCCACAAGAACAGACCTGATGTGCAAAGAACATTATTCAGACACAATAAATGTACAGTTAACTTCAGTTTAATGACTCTTAACACTAGGGGTTGGAGGGTGTTTTTTGGGAGCAGACAGGGTCTCACTATACAGCCAGATTTGGTCTGAGACTTGTGACCTTCACTGCTCCACCTCCCATAAGCATAGACTGCTGGTGTATCTCACCATGACTAGTCACACAATAAATATTCTGCCTCAGGCACGGCAAAATCTGTTGAAAGAAATTTACCAGGCAACTTTCATGCATCAGCACTGTGCTGGTTTAGTGTATTATTCCTTATACTCTAAGGCATGTTTCAGGTGCTTCTATTCATAACTCTCACATTTATACATTATCATTTAATAATTGCTTATCTGAATTAATGGCTTAGGTTAATTACCTCAAAAAAGTTGTCCCTTAACAACTCCTCCTTTAAAAGGGGTGGGAAGCAGGGAGAGAAAGTTAAATTTAAAGTCTAATTACTGAAGACAAGTATCAAGGCATTTTGGGTTTTGTACAAAGTCAAGGACTTCAGGTAAAAATCAGCCTCAGGGAACACTAGCCAGCTTTGCTTTTAGCCTCGAGGTCATTAACGACTCAGATATGTGCGAAACTGAGGTTATTTTGAATCAGAGCTCCACTGCAGTACAGGCTCGCTTGAACACTTGGCCACCCTCCTGTCTCATGTCT